GAAGATGGATTAGTGATCTGGCTCTACCACTTACCATCTGCATGACATCGGGGACGGTGCACAACCTCTCTATCAATACCTATATGTTTGTCAACTGGGTTTAAAAATATCTAATTCACAGGCGAGAATTAAAACAGATAATATATGTAAAGTATTTGTTTCTGTCCTGTGTTAAAATAGGACCAATAATATATGTCAGCTTCTCAGTTGGATTTGTTAATGTCTAAGGGGGCCTATATTTTGAGTGCCTATTAATACTTAAATTTTACTTGTATTTTAATTAATATTCAATTTATTAAACAGTTCAAGCTTAAGTTTTCTTTTTGTTGTTGGTGAAAGACAGTCTCTCTCTGTCACCCCAGGGAGAATACAATGTTGTCATCCTAGCTCACTGCAACCTCAAACACCTGGGCTGGATGTGATCCTCCTGCCTCATCCTCCCAAGTAGCTGGGACTACAGGTGCCTGCCACAACATACAACTAATTTTTCTTCTATTTTTAGTAGAGATGGGATATCTCTCTCGCTCAGGCTGGTCTCCTGAGCTCAAGCCTTTCAGAGTGCCAGAATTAAAGGCATGAGCCACTGTACCTGGCTGAATCTTAACTTTTCTTAAGGCTTCAGATTCAACTTTCTAGTTGTGTATTAATCTAGTATATTTGTATGAAAATAAGTATAACCATTTTCCCTACCTCTTTGATGAACATTTTATTGGTTCATATAGTTAAAATAATGAATTATCCTTAATAATAGTATTTGCATTCATAAATAATATTTTCATCAATACTTCAAGTTATAATTATGATTTTAATGTAGATAATTCTTTCACATAATGAAAATCTACTGTGCAGGCTTGAAATCAAACAGGGTATTTCTAAGCACTTAAGTAATGCCTATTAATCTAACAAATCAAAGAACTGAAGGCCTTAAATCAAATTCTCACACACTTTTCAAATATCTTAAAAACAGAGAAAACATTCAAAAAGGCAGAGTGACTGCAAAGGCAACATAGTAATTGCACTTAAACAACTAAGCCTGAATATTATATTCATTAATATCATTAACCCTCCCACTCCTTCTCTGTATAAACTTATTCCTTCCAGAAGTGGCTAATTTTCTCCCTGACCGAAGGGAAGATATTACTATTTCAGGTCCAGTATAGCCACTAAAGTGATACGTGCATATCTGTGATTGTAAAGCAAATCAAAGAACATTTGTGCTGTTTGGGGGATGAGTCTACCCAAATCCCAGTTTGGCAAGCTGGACGCTTTCTCATAACCAGTCCCTGCCAACTTCTCTAATTTTACAGCAAACTATGGACTTTCACAGATTCTTCAGGCCAGACCTGGGCAGATTCTGTCAGCTCTTCCCACCATGTTCCTTCCCGAGAGGATTATAAGTAATCTCTGTGTTGCTTGATTTTCAATGACGGGTGTCTCATGCTCCCAGGATTATATGACCTGTATGTTCACTGACTGATAATATTGTACTTTCCTTATCTTTTATATTCTCATCTGTGTCAAATCCATCTTCTGTTGGTTTATTGCCAAGTCTCAACCTAATTCCCATAATTCCCAGCTTTTGCTTTGCTCGCCCCCTGCCGCCCGCCCTTGGCCAATCTGGTGTCACAGGATCATTTCCTGTAAATGCAAACGTACTCCAAATTTCCAGGGTCAAACTTGCCCAAAGCAAGAGGAATTGAGCCAGTTATTGAGCGTCATTCTGGGATTCAGCACCACGTCACCATTAGGTCTGGTCTTGCCCTGACATGGGCCACAAGTCTGGTCTGTGGTGCTCTGCCTCCGGTTGGTGTCAAGCCTGGGTGAATGGCTGGTCAGCACACAAACAAGCACCAGGCCTTCGGGAACAAGTTTGCTTGGGGAAAGTTACAGACAGTAACAGTGGCACATGTGAGGGTCCCTTTTGTCCATTATAATTTGAGCTAGTACATGGCTAGCAGGACAAAATGTCAGACACAGACAGGAGAACCCTAGCCCTTGGGCTGTGGGGGATTTTGAACGGTAAGACCGAGGGAGAACCAGCCCCATTGTGGCCATGTGGTATGATATAGCAGAACCTCTATTTCAGAACAAAGTCAAAACTACTTACAATAAAGTCACCCAGGCTGATTTATTGTCTATTATCCTAGACAAAATAAGAACATCATCTTTGAAACCGGGACAATAGGAAATTAGATCCAGGCAATGGTATTTTCTAAGTGACCGTGGTGAAGCTACTGAATCACTCTAAACTTAATTTGATATTTCAGCACGAGTGAGACAAACTACCAATCTAACAGTTATTATAAGGACTAATGAACAGTGCAATTAGGTCTCTGTCCAGTGCCTGGCACAAAAGAGGTGCTGGGTAAGTAAAATGTTGTTTAGTTCCCAACCACACAAAAACACACATAAGAACCATGAGTCAGGTCTGACAGTACAAAAAAAAAAAAATAATAATCTCGTCCCACTCCTTCTCAGCCCATCATCTCCTAAAAATTATCTGTACCTATTATTTCCATGTTCTCACCTCTCAGTTTCTCTTTGTGGTGAGTGGACAGAAGTTGTTGCCTCAGAATATTTCTCCACCTCACCCAGTAACACCAACATGGCTGGGGTGAAATGACCCATCCTCCTTGCCAGGGGTCAGGCAAGGAAGTCTAAGACCACCACAGGCTAGTGGTGGTCCAAGCAGGGGGAGGCTCAGAACTGTCCTTTAGATTCGAGGTGGTGCTTTATGTAAGTGCCATGCCTGGATGCTATACAATGTCGCGTGTTCCCACCACCAGGAAAGCCAGCCTCAAGGGAAAACTGACTCCAGGGCAGAATCAGCAACAGAGTGATGGAGCCACTGCCCCGACCACGCTGAAACTAAAACCTGCCTTAGTGCTGTACTGTTCAGAAATGTGAACCAGTATACGCCTTTATTTTTAAAGCAGCTGAAATTTTCTGCTACCTATCACTAAACGCATCCCGACTTACCAATTACTCTATTAACGTCAATCAGAATGCAATTCCATCATTTCACCCACACGACTATTGGTGCGAGCATCCAGCGGCGCTCATCCCTGAGAATCCAGGTCAGTTCTCCCGGTCCTCCATCTCTGCTCAGCCCTTGAAAAATAGACTTTTCATCAGACATGCTGGTGTGTTCAGGAATAGTCCTTGTGGCATTAATATTATAGCAAAATATTGACAGAGTGAATTCTGTAAATAATCTACTGAGAAATATAGTTTGATTTGATTTGTGTTTTTATAATTTATATTTTAACTATATTATATACTATGCTAAAATATAGAAAATGTATAAAATATAAATTATATTCTTTATATAGTATTTATCTCAAATATATTTATTTATTTTTGATTATGCCTTTTGTTTTAACATTTTATTTGACTTATGCATTTACTTAATGCATGCATTTATTTACTCTATCACCATGAGGAACGTTATAAATAGACGAGGTATGTGCTCCATTGGACGCTGCACGCGGCAGGGCCCTGCTCAGGCCAGTGGCCGCCGAGCGGCGCCAGAC